CAGTGCGCTAAGCCAGAAACTTGAAAACAGAAAGTGTAAGTGGGTTTCGAGCCTTTGTAAAGCCATGATTCTGCATTATAAACTGTTCATAAAGAATGGATGTAATACTGATCTGTGAATTTACAATCTAAAGCCTTAAATTTAGCCTTATGGTCACCACCACTGAGTACCCCCTATATTAAGATCAAGATTAAGAGGGTGGTGCGAAAGGTGTTAAAAAAAGGTTACACAACACAAAGTTAATAAAAGAGAAATGCATTTACCAACATTGGTGGAGACTTTTTGGAAGGGATCTAACAATAATCTGTAGTAGTCATCACATAATTGCAGTATAAATACACTAATATCCCAAACATGACCTAAAGTCTATTTCCAATTGAAAGGAAAGGAACAAAGGAAAGGAAAGCCTAGTCGTAGAGGGAGAGAGGTTGTCTGTCTCCCGAATCCAAATTGGGAGCTGAAGGTTCGGCCTCCCATTTTACTTTTAAATAGGAATCACAATTAAGGTAGTGACGATGTAGCTATAGACTGTAAATTTGGATATATTAACATGGGAGTAACTGACTTACATTTGGACCATTTGAGGCACTGCTGTTTTTGAAACTTAAGTGTTGGCTTCATTTTTCAGCTCCAACTTTCCTACTGGTTCACAGCATTTCCATAGTAGGACTGTCATCTATCATCTAGCTGTCATTTCTTTTTCACCTCTATTACATTTCTTCCGATCGCAGCCGTGTGCTGTGCACGGCAGAAACTCAGAGTTTGCTGATGCTTTAATGCAGCTTTTTTGCATTTGATTTCTAATGGCAGGTCCTGCAAAGGTAAAGCAAGGTTTGCTACATTAGCTCCAAAGTTTTGCGCACACAGCACATACAGAGACTCAGGAATGCTGATCTACATGCACAAAGACAGATGTCAGGTAATAAGTGAACATTCCCTGGCAGTAATTCAGTATTCCAAACTTCAAGAGACAGTACCGAATCATGTTGTTTCCAATCTGGACTGGATTTCACCTTCCAGCACAGAGCTGAGCTATGGATGTAATGTTGAAAACAGCCTCTTCTCCAGGAGCAGAGTGCGCCCGGTATGAAGAGTTGGCTGCTTGGGAGAGGCTTTTTTGCAGAGTTAGTCAATTTTGAGAAGCTGGAGGTTTCCCATTTGAGGTGAAGGGAAAGGTTAGAGCAATGCCAACATGTGTTTAACAAGCACAATCTGTAATATGGTATGGGCTCAAAGCTGCAGTGTTCATTAGTACACCTAATCAATGAGTCAGAATTTGAGTCTATACTTGAGTCTATACTTGAGTCTATACTTGAGTAGGTGCAATTTCAGTAATTATAACCTCAGTTTTTCTATCATGAGATGTTTCACTCACCAGTGCTGCTATCTCTGCTATTTACCATGTAAAACACTAAGAGCCTTTAACATGAAGCCATAGCTTTCCACATAACTGACTGTGTACCTTTACATCTCAAAAGAGATCCACATTGCCTTTGGCAAGACAGTGGGTTGAGTTTATTCCACTTTGAGCTGCCAGGAAAATATTTTTCCTCACAAGTAGCTTGCACGTTAGACGACAGTATGAGTTTGCTGCAGCAACAGCTGCTGAGCAAGTTAGTGTTGAGACCTCCACCAAAATAGACAATATGACAAATTACTGAAAGGAAATCTTCACTCCTGCAGAAAGATAAAAAGGTTTTTTTTTTTGTTTTCTTGTTTTTTTCTAACTGTGATTGATTGTATCAAGCTCCATTTTTGTCCTGTCAGTTTTCGAAGATCGTCCCCTGTCAACAAACTGATTTACTGTCTGGGCTGATAATGTCTGGCTGCAAAGTGGAAAACATAAATTTTGTTTAGAGAAAGTTTATTGTGGCTGTGATACTGCTTTTCAGAATCACGGGGGGATATTCTTATTTTGGCCTACACTTTCCAGGGATCAGATATTTCAGTTTTAAACTCTTAAACTCTCCTTCACTGTCTGCTAAAGTATGGTAGTGCTTGTTTGTATGTGTGTGTGTGAAACCCAAGACACACCCTTCCTAATCATGCTTCCCCATCCATAATGTCTCACTTGGCTCATACTACAACTGTAACTCACCTTCACCTACTTATCTCATTTGAGACAGAACTCAGACTAATTACTCAGTAAATGATGATGATTGCTTTTTCACCTACTGATGTAGAAAGCTGATGTAACTGGTTGTATATTACAGATATATAGACATCCACAGATGGAAACCAGTGACCCAAATTATTAGTTCAACATTTAAAAGATCTAATCCTTTTCAAAGTTAGTAGGAACTACAGTCTTAAACTACACTCCAAAGCTTCCCTCCAGCCTGCTTCGACTAAATGGCCATCTGTTTATATAACACAGTTTGTTTACTTGACCATTTTGCCTTTCCATATATGTACAAGATTAGTTTTTACTGGAAGGGCAAAGGGCAAAGAAGTACTGTGAGTTCGGTAATTTAAAAAAACAAAAAACATTTGTGTGCATTAAAAAGCAGGAAGACAGAAAAACAAGTTCAGTTTTCCCCCCATTAGGCTGGCCTTGAGCTAATTGCTATCCAGCAGTTATTGGTTCCCTTATGTGTAGCAAATGTTCTCTCTTTCACTGCAAATTCACTATACAGCCTCTGGGGAGTATTCAGCAAGGATTGGACCACATTTCTAGGAGATTTTCATACTTAAAATGGGTTTTATATATATATATCATTGGTTAGCTTTATGAAATCAAGTGGAAACATTCTTTTACCTGCATAATTTAAACCTTACGCTTAACCTTCCCCATCAGAAGACCATAAAAAGAAAGCAGCAATTGTGAGAACACAAGAATTCAGTTCTCTTCAGTCATATTTCTATAGCACCACTTCTCAGGTCACTTTGCATTGTAGCTTGAAGACTGTACAATGTTGCAGAAAGAAACCCAGCAATTTACTACGAGTAAGCACGTGGTGACAATCAAGCTACCCAAATCTAAACCAAACTCAATAACATTTCAGATATCTGAAGTATCTCCTCTGTGGTAAAGTACAATGAAGCGTTGCTCTGAAGAGAAGCTTAGGAATGTGTTTTTGGCTGTTAGAGGACAGGATGCTCTGGGGTCACACATGGTCAGCTTCCCTTTTTCTGTATCTTCACATTCCCATGGGGACTATCCAATGGCCCAGGCCGGACTCAATATAGTACATCAGACTGCATAACTAGCCACAAAAAACAGGTTGTTCTTGGATCACAGTAATCCTTCCTTATCATCTGCATTTTTGGTTTGGCTGATTACTTGTTGACTTCAATGCACCCGCCTGGTGCTGTCAGTTGCTTAGAGTCCCGATTTGTTTTTCTCATTTTCTAATGAGAAGTTAAAGGGCAATATATATTTACTTCTTCTAATTGTTTTTAATAAAGCTTATTGTTGTTTTTGAGCTTGATCTCCCTCCCCTTTGATGACACGTTAATAATGCGTTGAAATGGGAATACATGCTTAGTGATGATAGAGAATTATTGGGTAATGTAATGCAATGGTTCAAAATGATATGTGTTTTATGAGTGTGTTGGTCGTGTTCATGTAGAAAACGCTGCAAAGGCTTTAAGCTACTAAGTGAAGATGCTTCCAAAACAAATACAGCGAACAAACAACCTCTAAAGAGCTTTATAGACATGGGAAAGCCAATATTGTTACCATCAGATCAAGCCCAGCTAAGAACAGAATATTTTCCCATCATCAAGAGGTGTCTTGGCAAATGTGAGATGAGCCTTTGTGTTCTTTTTGGTCAGCAGTGGATGCCTCAACTCTTGCATGGATGCCATTTTTGCCCAGTCTATGTATTATTGTTGATTCATGAACTCTGACCTTAACTGAGACAAGTGAGGCCTGCAGTTCTTTAGATGTTGTTCGGGGTTGTATTGTGAACTCCTGGTTGAGTTGTTGAATTTTGGTTTTCTCCATTTGATAATGACTCTCACTGTATAACTGTGAAGGTTCTCAGTCATCCATGTCATCGTAGTCTAAGAAGCTTGGAAAGAAAAGCGTCTGGACTTCTTTAAGTTGCTTGAAGATGTTTCACCTCTCATCCGAGAAGCTTCTTCAGTTCTAAGGTCAAATGCTGGAGAGAACCAGAGGACTTAAATCTGGAGTCCCAAATCCTTAAAAATGGCTTTGTAACCCTTTCCAGCTGGATATATGTCGATGACTTTGCTTCTCTGTTGTTTCTTTAGATGGTGGCATGATGTGTTGCTTTTAGAAGTCTTTTAGCCTGCTTCACTTTGTCGGACAGGTTGTATTTAAGTGATTTCTCGATGCAGCAGGTCTGTCGGTCATCGGGCCTGGGCATGGCTAGTGAATACGGTTAATCACAGTTAATTCATGATTCATGAAAAACTGAATTTTCCTCAATATCCTGAATCATCTAATTGTGACAAATTTGCAAATAAATAAGTAATCAGGAAGGGAGCAAATACGTTTTTACAGCAGGTTTTGAGGATCTGTTTTGCCATCACTGTGTGAAAGATTCAACACATAATTGCACAAGGAGCTTGTGTAACTTGGCAAAGCAGTGACGTGTGTTTCAGCTCCTCTGTGTAGCTGTTCTCTGCTTCATGCTACTGCAGACAGTCAGTCAAACTAAACTTCATGGGACACATCATTTCCTCTGGTTATTTTAAGCCTTCGTAACCAATGCAATGACGACATTTGCTCTGGTCCCTCAACACTGGGATCTGTGTGAGCCACAATGCATAAAGAAAACACACATAAACACTTTCTCTTACACGCACACATACACACAGCCAAAATCCCCACCCTGGATCCCCTTTTCCTCCCTTCCTCCCTTCCTCCCTTGTCTCTTTCGTCAGCCTAGTGTGAAGCAACATGCTCTTGCTTAGCGCTACTGTCTAGCTATATTTAACTAGGCCATGCTATTCCAGAATGCCAGATCCCAGGGCTGGTGCTATCCCCACCCCCTTTGATTCTGTATGAACCCAGCTTGTAATGAGGCCACCTGGCTTCAAATTGCTCAGGTCCCTCTGTGGTGTTGATCAAGATGTTCAACAGGATGAGATCTGGCACTGGTCTGCATGCTGTGAAAAGTGTCTGTCCTAACCGCAGCCCCCCGCTGCTGTGTTTTTGGAATAATATAGCAGGAGACTAGCTATTTGATAGCAGGAGACTAGCTATTTGGATAAAAAGGGGAATTTCATCGCTGAAAATCATGCATGTGGAAAAAAACACATCTGTGTTAAATTTTTTGGAGAATTTCCCACGTCACATCTAAGGAGTTTGCAGGAAAAACTCTAAACTCTGTCAGTCACCAAATGCGCCAAGCAGAACTATGCTGTTTGTCCCTGGAGGTTCTCGCACTGCAGCAACTCGTCTTGCCGTCCTGGAGCAAAGGCTTATAACAACTAGGAGTGGACGACTAATTAGAAGCACAAAAAACTATTAGTCTGGAGTCTGATGTCTCATGATTAACCACTGCAGCCTTGTGCTTGTGAGTCATACACCCTCTGGGCTGGAGGGAGTCCCCACAGTTGAAGTGGATTTCTCTATATTTAAAACAGTGAGTCATATTCATCTGCACACTACCACTGATTCACTTAAAAATAGCATGCTCATTTCTCTAAGGAACAGTGTGAACAAAACAATTATACTTGAGAAATGTGCAGTTCGACATATAATATATTGCCATCTTTTTTCATTTGCTGTACAGCATTTGATGTATTTTGTTTGGCTGACTGTATACAAAACTTCGTTTTCAGGAAGTTGGAGGGCTGCCAGGAGATTAATAATGGCTCCTGATAACAACCCAGTCTGTACATCTGTTTCAAGCAAAAAGCAACAAGCAACCCTGAGAATACTTCAAAACTTGGCTAATTGACATTCTTCCACCACAGATGTTTTGTCTATATTCGGTACGCAAAATCAGTGGGACAGTCTGATTAAAGCCTCCAGCTTTGCCTCGCTCCTAACTGACCAAGCCAGCTCCAGATGTTGCAGTGGAAACCTCAGGCTTTTCCAAACATGTCCTCATATGAATCAGCTCAACACTGGAAACATTTTTCCCATGATTCATGCTGCTTTTCCAGCGCCTGTGCTTGCCTTTTGTTACCCTACTGGCAACATTTGTCTGATTCCAGGACATGTGAGTAACAGGCAGTGCAGTGTTCAACAAAGAAGGCACTGTTCCCCAATAAAAACACAGACATAATTTACGTCATATGATCATTAAAAAGAAAAAAACATCTGATGAGATGATCAACAAGACAAACAAAGAAGAAAGATTTTGAAAACTGATTTAGAGGGAATAAGTGATTCCACAAAAGGTCTTTGGAATGAGAAAAAATTTTGTTAATCCCTTTCCCCTCCTCCTTTTCATGTATTTTCAATTGATAAAGGAAACAATGGCAGCCAGAACAGAATGGATTCTTCTTTATTCAAATGATAAAATAGACTGTCCTCAAAAAAAAAAAAAAAAACCCAAACAAAACAAGAAAACCCCATAGAGGCGGCTCATATCGAGACATCTGGTCATGCATAATTCCTGCTTATTGAAAACTTGGCCGTTCTGTGATGATGAGAATTTTCTCTAGAGTTCTCGTTTTGGGCACTAAACTCCCCGACAGCTCTTATCAAAAATAAACACAGTTCATTTGGTGCAGCCAGTTAAGAATGCAAGTCCATCATTCTCAGGGTCATAACACACTTTGAATGTAAATGTCCCACACAGATTCTGGCCCCATTGCGGTCCTACAGGTATCATAATGTGCATAAAATTATCACATTATTACAGTTTTGTTTTGTGGGCTTTTTGGGGGGGATGGTGGTGTGGGGGGGGGGGGGGGGGGAGCAGTACTTTACTGTACAAGGTTGCCTGCTCCTATGCCAAAAATGTATTTTAGGGTGTGTTTAACACGCTGGTTCCTTAACAACGCTCATAAAAAAGTTTCAGTTCCTTTGACAGACTGAACCTTAAGTTTTGCTTTTTACATTCATAGCACCAAAACTGGAGTACACACAAAAAGTATCTTCAGTGACAAGAAGAAAAACAAGTACTTCAGCAGGTGGTTTGGACTCCAAAGAGTCGTGGTCTTAATATTTTTGAATTAGCCTGAGGAGACAGAAGGCACTCTGACAGCTTAAATCCACAAGGACCCGGAACAATCTACCTGCCGCCACCTTAAAAAGCTGTGTGTAACTATTTTGAGGAGTTTGGCCACAAACTTGGGCATCTTCATATAAATACTTGCCTTGAAAATCTCATCCATTTCAAACAGAAATGAAAATTTACACTGTCAACATGCATCAAATTTGCAGGTGTTTCTCAGTTTCAGTGTCTCAAGGTGTTTCAAATCTGGACCTTACTGTATGCGTGGCTAGATTCCCACACAGATATACAACCTCTAGTAATTTAAGCAAATGACAAAGCATGGCAGCAGGATGTAAATACAACACATTATGTTGCAACGAGTGTAATTAAATATTCCATCAATAACCTTGGACAGATTTAAAAGGAAAATATATGTTTTAGCATGTGATGTTTCATAATTATTGCAATTTTTTTATCCTTTGCCTACACCTCCACCACCAATATCTCTCTCAAGCCATTTAAATAATATTTTTTCTCAGTTATGTCTGCCAGTGGTATTCATTCACTACTTGTTTTTGTCATGGTTTTAGAGAAAAATTATTGGTCACACTTTTTGTACAGTGTGGTGTTTTGATAAATGTCAGCTATTTTCCTCCCTTGCCGGCGCAGCTATAACCCCGTGCTGTTGCTGCTGTAGGTAAGAATTGCCGAAAATTGTATGGCGACGAGGTAATTGTAACAATCTGAAATTCCAAATAATCACCTACAGGCCTGAAATCTGGTTACAGAATCTCCATTACTCAACCGTACCACCAACTTATCTGATTGCCTTGAAAGGGGTTAAAACAGCACAGGAAGCCCTGCTGGAATAGCTTCTGAACGTCTAACTAGGGACAAAATCTGGGCCTGTGTTTATGCACAGAAACTCTTTTGTGCACACACCCCAAGCTAAATGACTTCTGTGTGTGGGCTGTCTGCCTGCTCTGAGCAGATCATAACCCTAAAAAATTATCTGAGCCGCCTTCCAATGACAGCCAGCAATCTCAAAGAGAACAATGTTGGAAAGATCATCTGCCAGAGGAGTACAGAGTCTTCAAGGCAAGGGACATGTATTTGTATGTTTTGTTTTTCAGGGTTCTCGCATCACACTGAGAATAAAGTGATATGTACTTTATCACGTGTGCTTTTGAAGACACTGAATGCCTCAATGTCAGAATTTCTCTCTTACTCCGGCATTGACATCTACAGCTGCATAAAAGACAGCTTGATAAACTTGATATCTTCATCCTATGTTATGATTACTCTGTTACTCAGATTTAGTTATGTATGGCTCATTTTTTTTGTCAATGTAGTGATCTTTCCTGTCAAGACCTATGACAGGAACAGAAGGATTTGCATTACACGAGCCGAGCTCAAACTAGGACTATCAAAAATGTAACTCTAGATGCTCTCATGGCCCCTCATCAATTATATTTTTATTATCATATGATATTTTAGAAGCATATGCACTAGACGCTGACCGTCTGGGGCTCCAAGATGGGTGTTCCAAGGTCATCCAAATTCTTGGGATCCCGCTAGCTAATGCAAATGACGGAAACTATGAAAACACCTTGTAAATTGGCTGGGGCTGTGCTGCTGAGGTGAAAGAAAGGATAAGGTGGTCAGCAAGCCCAACTGTTCTAAGGCCTTTTGTATTTTACATTTCTTGCTTGTAGCTGACTTGCTTATCTGACCACAGCAGCACGTTGTGAATGAGCACCAGTGTCTTGCTCAAGGACAAGCTGACAGAAGTTATTGCTTTTACAGCAATCAAACCTCTAAAAAACTCTATTATTGGCCCGCCACTGTAATCACTGAACAGACATGCTGTTCATTCTGTAGCTGCAGGTCAAATATAAAATTCTACCTGTAGTAACAAGATGAAGCTATAGAAAGGAAAGGAGCAGGGTAAGGCAGGTTGCCTATACAGCTAATTTTGGATTCTCGCAATGATGTTTGCCTCAGGCCAGAATCCTAAAAAAAAAAAAAAAAGCAGTTAATAAACCACGACTCACTGAAACTTTCTCTCTGAAAGTGGCAGGATGAAACATCAGGCAGGCAGAAGTGAGGAAGGTTATATCATACGAGAAACATTATCAATATTGATAGTCGTCCATGCTTCGAGATGAAATAAGGGTCTCATTTCCATGACGCATTAAAGAAGGAGCTTGGCAGTGAGCAGAATGTTGTCTCAAGTACAAGGGCCACTCATATACTGCACTTAAGTTTTTGATGACATGCACTTCGTCTGCAGTGCATAAGCAATCAGAGTTGAGGTTTTTTTTGTTTTCTTTAAGGCAAATGTTAAGATAAAACAACATAACAAAACCCTGCTTTCTCCTCAATGGTGGGATTTGTATTATTGTGTTTTGAAGCAGATTATAGCTCATATTTTCTTGGGAAATAAAACATGGCTGTGTCTGAACTGTCCACCAATTCGCTATGTAAGTGCATAAGCCTTCTATATCTTGACTGTGAATTTCCCCTATAGTGCACTACAAAGCAGTGAAGTGACGCTATGAAAGGTAGTGTACAGAAGAAGGAGCGCTACATCCATCGAGACATCATGTGTTGCAGCCTGTTTATCTGTTATGAAACAAACAACCCCCCCCCCCCCCCCCCCCCCAAAAAAAAACAAAAAAACAAAAAAACAAAACAAAACAGAGACACCAGATATGGAGCTAATTTGATTTTCTTACTCTTTGAGAGTGCCTGGCAAGCATAATGCTCCTCAGATGTTTCAACCGTGCAGTGGCTCATCTCCTTCTATGCCAGAGCAGCATGACTTTCAAATTACAGATTTTAGCTGGTCAATTTAAACTGTAAATGTGTTAGTGGAAAGTAGCTTGCTTATGAAATGAAAAGCATAATGATAATTCATAAAAGATTTGTAGCACAGTTGCAGTTTCTCTCATCCTTTTGTAAGTGGATACATTTACGGTAAAGTATGCAGAAATGAATAGGTGTGCATAGATTAATATGGTAGTAATGTGTATAGATTGTGCTGTTATCCGTTACAGTGTTTACTTATTCTAACTGTGTCCACTATGTAGCAAACACTATATAGTGGATGGGTGTGTCTGATGTTGGTCCACTAGGATCAACATGAAACTGATAAGTCATGTTGTGATGCCGTTGCCCTGCACTGTGGTGGAAAAGAGGAAAAAAGTCTTTCTTTATACAAAACTCTCTTTTGGAACAAATGGTAAGCATTTCTAAAGTTTTCTTTATGAAGTTATGCAAAACAACAACTATATTACCAACTTAGCTTTGCTTTCAGCCAAATTTAGGTTACTTATGTTGGTTTGCTTGTGATAGCTTTTCATCGCATTAGCTAACTTCTTGGCTAATGCTAACTCTAAGCTTAGAGAACGTGATTGGTCAGCTGCAATGTTGAACCCAGCATTGTTATGACAGTGTACTAACAACACTAACATGGATATAAGACGCTCAGTTTTAATACAAAAGCATTTCACTGTGAGCTACAAGCACCTGGTCCTCCCTTGAGAGAGAAAAGGCAGATGAGGAGCTGCGTGTTCTTCCCTCCTTTTATAAACACAGATTTTCTTGTTTACATTTACTCCAAAAGCTACTTTTCTATCCTATCTTAGCTTTACGTTGTGTTTAGACTAAAAGTTGAGGGAAGGGTCACGAAGCATGTCTGCGGGACCAGTACAACCTGGAATAAAGGCTAATCTCATCAATTTCCCAGCACAAATATTGGATTTATTAATCTTCTGTGCAGACACTTGTAGTCACACCATTTTCCCTGCCAACTCTCAAGGAACATGTGGAGGCCTTGTATACGGACACTTCACAAAGCCGAGGCAAATTCCATATTTATTTTTTTTTCTTGTTACCATAGTAACATTATACCCATGGGGAGATAGCTGGCTCATATGCAGTCTTGGGATGCAAATCCCTTCGTTAAGCTTTGCAATTGAAAATGCAAACACATTCAGCAGAAAGACATCTCTGAAACATTTACAAATGTGCATAAAATATTTGATATTGTTTGTAGCAGATGTTCTCTTAATGTGTGTTATCTGAGCAATTTAGGAAAAGCTTCCTCAATTAGGTATATGGGAATTCAAACAGTGCTTTTGCGATGATAGATGGTATGTATTTCATAACATATTCATTGGCAGCAATTTGCACAGCAGCATTTGTTCTGCCAGCAGGGGCTTGTCTGTTCATATCTGTATTTTAGAAATGCCTACATCTCATAAATGGATTTTCAGAAAGCAAAACAAGACAACAAACAAGATACCTAATTTAGAAAGATTTG